CTCTGGAGATCTAGTCAACAGCTGCTGCAAAATTAAATAGATAGGCATTTACTGTCATAAAAGGCACATTTTTTAAAAAAAACATGGAAAGTAATATCATTTAATTATATTGTAATTTTATTTGCCTTTATTAATGCCTAGGTCCTGTTCATTTTTTGAAGTGCTGCCCCAAACGCACTACTTAAAAACGAACTGTAATCTTTGGCCTCCAAAATTTGCGCAACCCTGAAATAAAACTAAAAGTTGAGGGAAAATGATTAAAACAAAAATTGGTTTTTAAAAAGGAAAATCAAAGTAAAAGTACATACTTTTCAATATATAATACAAATTGTTAAAGCAACTTGCAAATATTTGGTTTCATTCCATTTCTGCTTGAGAGCCCTATGCAGCAATAAAAATAAAAGGGTACTCATGTAATTTTTATCCTCAACAAATAACTTTTCTTGCATCAGTTCTTAATTTTCAATTCTAAATGAAGATACTTGAGATCTTTCATCTAAGAAAGAGTGAATAAACTGATTTTTCATAAACTGGTTCTCCCTGCTTGCTTCATAGACTTGCTGTTTCTAAGCTCAGGATACGTTTGTTGTTGTAGGCCTGAGATATCAGCCAAAACAGAGATTACTTTGTCATGAAAAATCTTCCTGGTACAGCCTCACAATGCATAACATAACATATTATAGATATATTATATAATGAACTTATCAATAAATCCTTTTGTAAAAATATATGGATGTATCACAAGTGAAGCAGGAGATTCATCAATAATGCATCCCTTAGTTTATGAGGTCTGGTATTTGTGTAGTTAAAATTTATATTCTGCTGATTATGTGTACTGAAGCATTCTTATATCTATGAGCTAAAATTCTAGCAGAGGCAAATTTCTTCTGCACCTTCCAGTCTACCAAGAATAAAAGAACTTAAAGTTCTACTTCATTGATTCTTCAAAAATACTGAATATTTTTCATGATCAGCTCCGTAGAAGGGTTTTTCTGCTTTCAAAAGTAATTGTTAATATAACTAGCTTAATCTCTGATTCATCAAATCTCATGTTGCCTGCTTATGTTTGAAGCTGAAGATTGCACCTGAGGTCTCAAGCCTTTGAAAGGTCAGAATACATAATAGCCTGCATTAATGGATTACAAGTGGTAGAGGCTGAAATAAACCAAGAAAACATACAAATTTGATGTAGCAGCTGGACAATTAACCCATCTTATAATAAATTAAACTTTTAAGATATCAGGCATAAACTATTATTATTCATGTTGCTTCTGCAATGAAGACCACAGTACATTCTTTTATTAGTAATACTAATAGCATTTTAAAATAAAATGCTATTTTATTATACTTTATTTAAAATAGCATTTAAGTGAACATACTAAGAAGGAAAAGTGGGGACTTAAATTAAGCAAAATCAGGCAATAAGAGGTTTCATAGTACAAAGAGTTTGATCTTCATGTCTTTTTTTCTTTTTGATTTAGAAATACTGTATGCAACAATCATTGTCTGTTTTGTAGAATTAACAATAAAAATATAAATGCAATTAAAAATTGATTAACTTTGAACAATTTCTGATTTTGCAGTACAAATATAATAAAACATCAGACTTCACTAAATGAAAGGTTATAAATCAAGGACTACCTGTAAACAGTACTGTATTCATTTCAATAATTTATTGGTAGAACTGTTTTGATTGTATTAGTTTAAAATTTACAAAAGAAAAGTGCAGTCCGTTAATTCTTCTGAAATTAACTCAGGGGGTTTTGTATTACAGTATTAGCCAAGATTGCTGTCTTTATCACCTAGAAAAGACAGATTTTTCAGATGCTATACAGCAGCAACAGTTTCAGTCCTATTGAAGAAGGTTTGGCACACTAGAAAATTGTTTGATACCATATCCTTTGACATGCTACAGGTTCTATTTTGTCCCAATTACTATTTAAAATCTGAATCTGTTGGAACTGTAGAATGAGATGGCACCAATATTTGATGTCACTGAACAGTACCCAAAACATGGGTGATATATCTGAATGCTCAGGAATTAAGATTAACCAGTACTGGACTGGATATCTTAAAGTTCAGTGTACAAGTTTCAACCTTTTCTATACTTAGCTGACCATTATTCCATCCCTGATAACATATTTAGTAGTTTGCAATACGTAGTTATATAGAAATACCATTTAAAGAGCCTCTGGAAGGTTCAACTAATACAAAATGCAGCTAGACTTATACTACTGAGATTATAATATGTACTGGTTGCTAATTATTTTCTGCGTCAATTCAAGATTTAAATCTTTAAAACCTAACTACTTCAGGGCCTGAATAAGAATATGCTTATTTTAGGATGAATATGTCTGATTTAAATCTATAGCAGAACCATTGCCTCTTTAAAAAAGATGCAGGAAAATTTTTTACAAACTGCAATCAGAATTAAAGTTACAAAACACAATATCAAGCAGTGTTAAAATACAATTAAACTGGACAATCTATTGCTTATCTAAAATAACTATTTCTTCCATTCAAAATTCTACAACCTAGGACAGGTCCTGCTTGCAAAGAAGTTCCACCCAAAGTATCCACTAACCCATCTTCAGTGACCACATGAACAAAATGTCCTGTAATGAAGGACATCAGTTCAATGAGCAGCTTGCACTTACTTTTATCTTCATCCTCACTTCTAGCTAGTCATTTCTATCATCTACCTAATCAATATACAATGATAATAGAAATCTGGCACTGTATTTGAAGTGCATCCATTAACCCAGGGAGGGAAGTTATACACACAGCACAAAACAAAGTAGTCCTGCCTACTTTTTTATTTAGTGTTCTTGCACTTTGGTGGTAATGATGGAGCTTACAACTTTTTCCTCTATGCTATGAAAAAGGTGCCCTGGTTACTGCCTACCAGTTCTACAATACTGCATGCCTATATGGAGTTGTTTCACAGCTGTAGCTTTTTTTTAAAATCATCCCTCAATTCTAATTGTGTTTTTTTAAATATTCCGGTGGTCGAAACTCGTCAATTCATATCACTAAGCTGAACCACTAACACACCTCCCATCCAATATGGCCGCTCCACCAAACAGGACCGAAGCACACCCTAACCTAGTGTCGTTTCGCTCCGCCCTCCCTGTAATCCTACTGGCTCCTTCTATTCGAAACTCTGCCGCTATTGGGCGCGCCCGGTGTCGTTCTTTCTGACTAGCGGCCTCTCTCAAGTTAGACTGACGCGACATGTAAACAAATCACTTTCTGGATGTTCCAAACTAATCAGAACTCCGCCGGCCCACGCCAGACCCGAAGCCAACGAGGGGAAGAGATCTGAGCAGCCCTCTGCATCCCATTGTGGAAGTAAAAAAAAAACATTTTTTGAGCTACAAAGTTACTTTTAAAAAAAAGGGGGGGGATAAGATACCTGTAGCCTATCTATGCGGGATGGGTGGGGTTTCTTCATATTTTATCACAAATATTTGTATGCCGCCTAGGAGAATCACAGAGAAGAAGTGTCCGCACTAAAGGAAGGTAGCGATGGTGAATCTCAGATACCTCCCTTTTCCTCCTTAGGGCTACAACTGAACTTTGCAAACTCCTAAGATTGCAATGCACACGAGGACTCCTCACACACCCCGTCCAGTCATTCAGCATTGCAAAATGGAAGGGAAAGGTTTTCTCCTTTCCCATCAATGTCTGCTCTGTATGAATCACATACTTTTTCTTCTTGGCTCCCATGCCAATCACTCGGCTTTCTCCCTCGCCGGTATTACCCAACTTGACAACCACGAGGGCCGAGCCAGATATCTTCGTTTCACTTCCTTCCCATATGAATTAAGCGGGAAATAAAATTGGGGTAAACACACTAGGGCAACGTGTGCAGCCACACATTCGTGTGAATTCGATTTATAACCTATGAAATTCTTCGAACATTAACTCTCACCATTTCGTCAATCCTACTCAACAGCGTTTACAGATTTTTCTTATTAACAAAAACGAGAGCATATTTTTTTATCCGTATCTAAGACAGGGCAACTCTTCTGAAGAGGAAAATGTTGCATCGAACCAAACCGAATGGACCTCACAAGACTTGAGCGTGCTTTAGAACAGCTGACAGAATTTTCTTTCAAACGCCCAGCTAGTAAAGCAAACATGCAGAAGTCTGCAGGAAACAGAACAACTAGGTCTCCTCCTTCCCCAAGTCTCTCCCTTCCTACTGTTATAACCGAGTAAATCCATTTTGGGGGAAAACGAGGTTAACATGAAAAAGTTCCTTACAGAAACGAAGTACTAAATTAATCCAAGGACTCAATGCCAATATCTGAATAAACCGCCTAGCCTGAAGTCCCTCCTTCCCCTTTACATGGAAAAGGAGACTAAACAAACCCCCGGACTCCTCTGCAGTCTGAGGAGGAAAGGCAAGCAAGCCCACGCCCCCTTCAAGGTCTCTTTCCACCCAGGGCGAGCGCTCCAAGAATTCGGGCATGTTCTTGTCCACCCTACATGACCCCTCCAGGATTGAAACACGGGAAAAAAGCCGCTTTGTATCTTAACTTTAAACATCAATAGCCTATTTGCTTCAACTATTCCTTCCGCCGATAGTTGTCAATGCACACTTGCCCCGGATCTCCTCTGCCAAGCCACGCTGCGGAAGGACAGCACCCCTTTCGCTGCCCCCACGAAGACGACCTCGACCGCGCCGTTCTCAGCAGCCTCCATCCTAAATCGCCCTTCTCTGCTTCCTCCTGCTGCCCCGGGCAGCAAGGACCTTCGGCGCCTCCCTCCCGCCGGAGCCGCCGCATCCTTCTGCCGCCGCAGGGCTTCCCGGCTCATGCAAGAACCTGCTGGGACCGCCGCTCTCCCCGTCTCCCCCCGCCCCGCCACCGCTGCTCCCTCCCGCCCCGACGCGGGGGCATGGAGCCCCCCAAAACTTCTCTCTTTCCCTCCCTTCCCCACCTCCTTCTCTGTCGGCGCTTCAACGGCTTCCATCTCCCTTCGTGGCTGCTCACCTGGTACCCCGACCCAGCGGGGGGATAGAGGACGTCTCACTTGTGGTCCCAGCTTCTGCTGGGGCTATAGCTCTGGCCCGGCCCCTCCATGCCGCTCTGGGGTTTGTTTTGTTTATGTCCCTTCCTGACGGATTCCCGGAAATCGCGTGACTCGCCCCCATCACGTGGCCTTTAAAAAACGGGGCGGGGGGGAAGGGCGAGCACAGCCAAGTCGAGGAAGAAAGTAAGGCCGCCGAGGCCTCCAATCAGAAAGTGCGCGGTCAAGGACCAATCAGCGGCCGCAGAAACTGGTCTCCCCTCTCATGTGACGGACCGAAGGGCGAGGGCGGGGAGAAAGGAAGGTTCTTGCTCAGCTGACGGGGACGGCGGCGGGAATTCAACGGGGGAGGGGGGGGGAAGCACTAACATGGCTCCTAATTGCAAAGTAGTTGTATTGGCCGCTCGTCCGTGGGGCGAGAACTAAAGGGCCCGATTTTAATCAATCCCAGCTGATTTGTAGTGATCTCTAAATTTAGTCTCCAGTCTTGCCAAACTCCTGTAGGATGATGAGAGCTGCAATCCCAACACCTCTGTGCGTGGCCCACCGAGTCGATCATGCAGCCTTAATTCAGAATGAACTATGATGGGGTCTCAGCCTAATCTTTTTAAATACAGAGATGCAGGATGTATAGTCCTGTTGCTTTGCAGGTGCTTAGTGAGGCCTGTTCCTTGTGCAACTATCTTCAACTGCACAAGTCCTGGCTGCAGGATTGAGGGTCCAGAATGTCTAGCCTATGGGATCTCAACTACTGAAAGCAAATTACTGCTCAGTGGTTGGAAAATTGTTTAATTCTAATAACAAAGTTACAAATAGATCCCAAGGAGGCATTGTCTTCTCCAAACGATTCTCTAAATCCTATCTCAATATAGGATTGAGTCATCTGTAGTTGACTAAAGTTGGTTATATTCAAATACAGGGAGTTGTCAACTTACAGCCCTTTGTTTAGTGACGGCTTGAAGCTACCGCAGTACTGAAAAAGTGACAACTGGTCTTCACATTTACTACCACTGCAGCATCTCCAGTCATGTGATCAAAATCTGGGTGCTTGGTAGCTGGCATGTATTTATTTGCAACAGTTGCAGCATTCCAGGGTCACATGAGCACAATTTGCAGCCTTCCCAGATGCTTCCAAAGCAAAGTCAGTATGGGAAGCTGGACTCACTTAATGACTGTATGATTCACTTAACAACTGCAATGAGTCACTTAATTGTATCCAGAAAGTCATAAAACTGGGCGCAACTTACTTAACCACCAACTTGCTAGCAATGGAAATTCTGGTCCCAAATGTGGTCGTATGTTGAGGACTACCTATATGTGTAAATATACCTTCAGAGGTCAAAATACTGGACCAAAATTTTCTTATTAGCTCTAAGAGTGTTCTTCAATGTAGTTTGCTCATACATCCTAGTGTAAATGACACAGAGAAGAGGGGGGAAAGTATGCACATATATGGATTCAGCCTAGGCCAGGGGTCTGCAACCTTGACAACTTTAAGACTTGTGGACTTCAGCTCCCAGAATTCCTCAGCCAGCTATGGGAGCTGAAGTCCACAAATCCAAACCCCTAGGATTTGGATTTGGTTCATGATTGTCTTCAGAAAGCTTAGTCATCCCCTTGCAGTATTTCCACATGAGCATCATATTGCTTTAAAAATGTATCCAAGATTACCATTTACACTGAATTATCTTTTGTACCTGACATAATTTATTAATATTTTTGAATTAGATACACGTCATTCAGCTCTGACCATTCAATCATCACCAGTGTTTCTACTGTAAATTCTGATCTGACCTAAACAACAATTTTAGCTATTTAATGAATAGATCTCTCTATAATTTAATTTTGAATATAACAAATACTGGTAACCTTAACTTCTATATATAAATACTGAAATTCCTGGCTAAATTCACGTATTTGTAATTTGGACATTATTACACTGGACTTTAGAACACAATTTTACAGGTTTCTGCTGTACTCTACAAATCCAATGAAGCTATTCATATTTCCATTATCTTATGATATTTAGGCCCTGGAATTCATTTGAGAAAATAAGATTGAGAAGATATTGGACATGAGATCTAGATTTTCTGAATGTGCAGGTATATCTGCAAGAGGAAGGATACCATCAATGAAGCTATAAAGAAATAGCCTAGATAAGCGTCACTAAACTATTGAGAGTATTTGAATAAAACTAACAGCACTCTAAAAGTCATCAATTCATAAATGTGTGATTCAAAACTTATGTTTCTATATATTTATGCAAAAATAACATTTCAAATAAAGCCAGAAAAGTTAACAGAATAGAAATTTATTCCAAGTTTGACTGGTGAGATATAGGTGTTGTCGATAAACCTAGCCATCATAGGAAATGATGGAACATTTTGTAACACTTGAAATTCAAGCAAAAGTTTACAGAAATCAGGTACAAAGTACCCTTTAGGCACTTCAGGAATATTAAAAATGTCTGAGTTAAATATTCTTCATTAACAGAACAGAGGCATTAAGGTAGACATGGATCGATTCAAATACAGTAAAGGCATCATTCAATCAATGGAACTTTTATCATAACCTATAAAGAAAGAAAAAACAATTTATTTTACTTCAGAAGCATTTAATCCAAAAGTCAAACAATAATAAGATTTTCTGATAGAAAGCTTCTAATATTCAAGACACTGCAACAGTTCCAAGTAAAGTTTTACTTTAACATGCAAAACTTTACTTTAAAGTTTTATTTTAATATGCAGTATCATTTGGGTGTTGAAATACTAGTTTTTGCTTCAATATAATTGCTACTCCTTCGTGAAACTGTGATAAATGCAGCAATATATGAATATTAATTAACAGTCAGATTACATTCTTTTTTAAAAGGAGCCATTTAAAATGAAAACTGAACCTAGAGGAAGAATATTAGTTTTGACTAATAAGGCTGAGAGCCTAGCTAATTCCAAATTTTTGTTGACATTTTCGTACTTCCAAATCAAAGTTATTTGGCAAGAGTAAATTCACCATAACAAATATGACAAAGATCATTGCTTCATCATGTAAGGTATCTCTTTGCAAGGCACAGTATGATCGCTGACGTTTATGAACTACTAAAATTTTAAATAGGAAATAAACCTACACCCCCAATCCTGAGTCATCACCCAAATTCATTCCATGTCTGATTTGAAAACGCTAACACTTTGTCTCAAGGGGGGGGGAACCAGATAATTAAAAGCATAACATCACTCATCAGCTTGTTTCCAACAGAGCAAATGATAGATATTTGGGGAAATCAAAGTTCTGGAAGTAAAAGGCAAAGAAGCTTTCTAAACTGAACTGGTTATAGCAGAAATCAGATTCATGGTTTGGTATAATGCTTTCTATAATCATATTTGTGTGGCAAACTTCACCATTCCACACTCAAAACCATTTCTGCTCAAATGATCAACAATATTATCCAGCCCCCAGATTCCCTACAGAAGTACTCCCTAACTTCTGGACCTGAAAAACCTGCTCATATCCCATACAGTGCACTTAAACTCCAAGTGGTATGGCTGCATTTCTATTCTGTTTCGTATTTAAAATGCAAATAAAATGAATATTGTAGTCTTGCCAGTAGCAATGAACAAAAGTACTTGTGAATTAACAACTTATGATGGCTTAGAAAGGGGACTGATTTGCCTGTTTGGCTTAGACAATTAGTATAATTACATTGGGTTGTCTGTTTTTTGAAGTTCTCATTGATAACTATGTAGGTATAGTAAAAGTCTTCTATGTCAATATGAAGTTTAGAATTCAGTTTACACAGATATTGCCAATAATAAAAAGGACCCATGCTATTAATAGTTTTCAGTAATGTAAAAGAAAATATCCATTATTTTTCATATGAAAATAATATTAAGGAATAATTGGAGAAAAATTAAATTTTAAAAAAATGACCATAACTAAATTCTCTACATGGAAATCTCTTTTATTGTGGTTTTGAAACAGGTACAAAACAATATTTTGGTTGAGACCATGAGCTGCACATAAATATCAATCTCAGTTTATATTATACAGTCACTATGTTCATACAGCACACTATATTAAGGTAATCTGTCAACAGATCTAAAGAGAAACTGTTCTATATGTTGACCAGAATGCCAATTCCAGTTCCATTAGTCCTTTCCTTGGCCTTCTATAATTAACCTTCTATCACTGGACTATTATCCAACCTCTTTTAATCAGTGACCAACCAAATTCCAGTTTCTAAGTCTGATGAACTGCAATCAAACTCTAGAAGCTGAGTCTGAAAAGCTAAGTGTTTTCTCTTACACAATAATGTTGTTAAGAAAGTTTTATGATTATATTTTTTTCAGCAAAGTGAGTTGGTTTCATCTTATGCAATAACTATCCTAACTTGGCAAGATTATTGCTTTGAGCTCCCAGTTTTATGTTCTGTCATCTCAGATATGCTGCACACATACACTAAAGTAATCACAAAACTATATAATAATAATGATGGAACAGGGAGAACAATATTCACTACATGAACAAAAAGAGATATATAAATATAGTAAAAAAACAAGAAGAATAAAATGGCATTTACCTAGCTCATATACTGCCATAGAAAAAGATGTAATTGTTAAGGCCAGTGTTCCTTCAGATACAGGATTGTGTCACTTTTTAACTGTGGTCCAAAGAGTGGGTTCAACTGAGCCAGAATGGCAATTAGCCAGCTGCAAAATAAGAGCAGATTTATTAAAGAATTGGCTAATAAAGAATATTGACAAGGCAGAAATAGAATAAGTCTAGCATCTACACAAATACTAATAGAACTATAGTTTCAAAAGAAAAGGACTATAATAGTCTTAGGATTTCCTTAGAAGTCCAGGATATATTTCTTAGAAAATGCTTTTTTTCATTTCAAGGAATGGATAATCCTATCAATTATCCTTTTGTTTATACTTTTCTGAAAAGGGATAAAATGTTATATAATATAAACTAAAGATATATCATGTTTAACATCCCAATAACTTTCCCCTACCAAATTCCCAAGTTTTAGATTTTGAATTATGTTTTTGTAGCCAAATGACTTCATCGCACACGCATGGAAAAAACTGCTGAAGTACAAGGAAAAGTACAAGAAAAAAAGGGGGGGGAGTCTTTCCTCCCTTGCTCCTGAAAACAGGCAATAAGTATCCCAAGCAGCCACAGGAATGCTGAGGAAAAAAATGGAAAAGGAGAACATCAGAGGAATTTGAAAGGAATACCACCGAGAAGGGCAAAGTTGGCAAGAGGACTATAAACTGCAATATTTTGTTGCAGACCTCTTTAGTATACATATTAATCTGAACTATAAGTTATCTTGTATTTTGTTTTCTAAGTAAATGTGTCCTGCTTTGAGAATACATATTTACTTTCCTTTAGAGACTTTTTGCTGAAAATGGAAAAAAATGAAGAGAGTTTGGGATGATTACAAAGATTTGTAGAAGGAAACTAAGTAATATGAGAGGGTGGAAATGGTAATTACCATGTCTATAATGTTACAAATATGATCAGAATTTGCTTTTTTAAGTATCTTTCCTTTATAGATTTCTTCCTGAGAATGGAAAAGAATTAAATGATTTTGGGACTGATTACAAAGGTTTGTTTATGGAAAGAAGAAAACTACGATATGTAATATGAGAAGATGGAGATGGTAATGATCATGTCTATACCTGCTACAAAGATGATCAGAGTTTGCTTTTTTAAAGATATTTTTCTTTTTTGTTATTCTTTACTTTTTCTTTTACCTTTCTTTTTATAGTTCTATGTTTCTGTAGTTTTTTAAAAAATCTTTGTAAAATCTTCCTTTAATAAAATTTAAAAAAAAAGAGATATATCTGTATGCCACCTTACTGCTGGTGACTTTTTTGCCTTGGACACAAGAAAAAAACATAAGAGAAAAGTTAATTATTTTTATCATGCATCTCTTGCAAAGAAAAAGCTTATACTCACGTATTTTAATAATGTTATGCAAAATTGCTCTTAAGCTTTTGAAATCCCAGCAGTATATTACAATATACATGACTTTCCTTCTCAAAGCAATGGTCACATTAACCAAACAGAAGTCATAGTTAAGACACAAACATTTTTCACAATGGAAAACACAGAGGAAAATGCAGCACATTTGTTTTTGAATCACTCAATTTAACAATTCAGATTTGAAAATGGACTTTAAAATCTTTAAAATTACTGCTGAACTAATGTTCAGTATACAAAACACTTTGTGAACACAATGGCACATCTAACTGCTATTTCTAGAATGCTTTTGAAGGAGGAGAAACAGCAAAGCAGCTTTGTAATGGGAGCTGCTATAAATGCAGAGAGCTTTGGCAGTCATGGAAAATTCCACACAAACCTGGATGCTTGGACCAGGAAATAAAATACTGATCAGATGGGGGATAAAACAACAGCATCCACAGACAGAGATACAAAATTAACTCTTTAGATTTTGTTAACCAACTTCTCCCTCTAATTTTAGATATATGTTAAACAGTAAACAAAAATGAGTCTAAACCTTTAAAAGAAAATATAGGACCTTAAGAAACGTTAGCATTTTACTTATTTTACTGCTACCTGTACAAGATAGTCAACAGGGACTGCAGGATAGACAGCTGCATTACAGATATCTTTACCAACATCAAATTAGTAGGACCTCTAGTAGCACAATATTATATGTGATCCTTTCTAGGAAAAAAAAACTCATAATTTCTTATCTTCTTTCCATATAACGTGCAAGTACCACTGCAAATATTTACTTATGGCTGCCTAAGTCAGTATTTCTATCAATTTATATTTCAAAAAATTGAAACTTCTGAAGTCCTTCAGAAGTTGTGGATAAAGTGTTTTCTACAGGGTATGGTCTCTGCTCTTACCGATATTTATTTCCTGTCATGTGCAGCAACAAAAGCTTGGAATGCATTCTATAGTCTATACTTAGTTCACAAACACAGGGATTTAGTTCCTGGCCACAGTTAATTATAATTCCTCATTCCAACCAACTGTGGAATGTACTCTTTGAAACTAACAGAGATTCGATGACAAAAATGTGGGAAATGTTTCCAAAAATTGATTATTTTGAAAAAGAAAATGCATTCCTAGCTTACAAAAGAGAACGGGGTTGGGGTAGGGAAATGAATAAATATAAACAGACTCTTTTTGTTGTACTGAATACTGAGTTTTTACAAAGCAGAATAGTATTACTCAAGACTTTTGGAAAAGCATACGCACAAAAACACAAATATGCTGCACAGTGCACCTATTATGAATTCCGCATTGAAATACCATGGCTAATAAACAGTTTTCTATCTTATTCAGGGGCAAGTTACCCAGTTTCCAAATTACCCTGGATTTCTCACAGCCCTTTTGGGCAAGAGTTTAATGACTGCAACAGCCACTACACAGGACAAACAGGCAGAATATTGTCAAAATGCATCCATGAACATCAATTAGCAGACAGAAGATACGATGAAAACTCTTTAATTTCACAATATTTGGACACAGACTTAACCATCGTTTCAAATGGGAAACTGTGACCATCCCAGACCAAGCCAAGTCCAAAAAATTTCTAGAAGCCTGGCACTCTGAAAAATTAGCCATCAATAGACACACAAGCATAAAGAATATCTATATACTGTGCAAAAGAAATCATAAGCCAAAAAGAGAACAAAAAATCCCAAACACCTCCCCACTAGCAATCAGCACCCAAATAAATACAGATCAATTCCAAGATTAACATCAAACCAACAATCTAAATAAACAATACCCCAATCAAGGAACTCTCAAACAAGCCAACAGTAAACAGCCCAACCAAAGAAACTCTAAGACCGCCCCCACCAACACTGACAGGGCGGGCCACTAGTATATAAACCAATAGCAAATAGCACCCCTTACTAGCACTGATGATATTGCCTAGTTTGGGTAATGAAACATCTGCAAGAAAACAACCAAGCTCAGAGAGCACCAGGGACTCTTTAAGAGTTAGTTTAAAATCTTCTGAACATGGAAGACAATATAAATTGAAAAATAGATTTAGTCACTGGACACAAGAAAAACGGATTCACGCAGCAAACAGAGCAATTCCAGACAATGTCAGTACTGTCTTTTGCAGATTTCATGTGAGTTCACTTCAGTATATTCCAATAGTCTTTCATTGCCCAGAGTATAAAGAAAAGAGGAAGAACTCATTGTGTCAGTTATGCCGTGTTAAGGCTTTGCTTCCATTAACAAGATAAACAGTTTTACCAGTCTCAAAAATCAGTTGCTGGAATATTGCATATAAACTAAAAGCAAGAATTTGTTATGAATATCTGATTTATTATTTTGATATAAAATAGAAGTCTTAAAGACAAACATCAGAAGGAGATAAAGTTGAGCCCTTGACAGCAAAATAGCTGCTTAACATTTCACTCATCCATCTATTGCAAGGATAAGTTTTGAAATAATTAGTTATAGCTGCAACAATAGAGACCCCATTAGTACAGTAACAGTGACATTCAAAGCTGTTGTTTGAATACTGCATTTTTGATTGGAAGCAAAAACATTAGGATTATTAAGTTAAGAAAAGTCATGTATTCATTATGAACTATAGTTAGCATGCAGAAATACTGGGAAAGGGGAAATCTGCTACAATCATCTTCTAATGCTATCTGCTAAAACTGAATAACATAATGGGAAACTGGATAGAAAGTGAGCTTAATTATGCAGCTGGCAAGCTGAAGCAGGAAATGCAGTTAGAAAGACATAAAATTATTGCATGACCATTATATTTCAACTCTTAAGCAGCTCTTCACCCTAAGCTTTATACTAAGGTATGTTTACATGCTTTATTAATAATAGAATAATCAAAGAAGATTTAAACTGAGCATCTCATCCCTTACTATCACTTGCTAGAAAGAACTTCCACTCACAGTTGTGCTGCAATTCTTCAATTCACACAACTTAAATAAACATATATACACTGCGATGCTATTTATGTAAGATGCTTAAGTGTAACATGGTTGTTTAGAAGTATCAGGAAAATTAAAAGAAATGAACAGTCAAGGATAATAACTATCCTTTTATTCTCTGATAAATAAAAATGCTAATTAAAAAGTTCTTGAAGGTATACCCCCCAAGCTAGCCAAGCTTTGACTTTCCTGGTTGCTTCCCAAGTATTAAGTCCAACACTGCTTAGTATTTTGGGGATCAATGAAAATCAGCTAGTGCTCCCATCTGCTATGATGACTTCTATTTATAAAATTATAAAGTATAAAATTAATGTAGAGAACACACTGATAAAATGAAAAAAAAAAACAGGTGACGTGGGAAAAAAGAGAAGAGCTTTAATCGGAAAAACCTCAGAATGTTTTCCATCAATGTAATTTCTCCTTTTTTACTATTAAAGTCTTAGTTCTATTTGTTAATTGTCTTTAATAATAGTTGTTTATACCTGTTTTAAATATTTGTTGTGGTTTGCTGCCTAGAATCTCATTTGTGAGATGGGCAGCTATATACATTTGCTAAATAAATACAATAAATACATTACTTCTTTAGCCAAGTAACCCAATCTGCAGAATCACTATATAATAGGGTATTGTTTTGTAGATCTTGAAATTTCTCAACAGATAGCACAATTACCATATGCTGAAAAATTCTGCTCAAAGCTCTTGGCACTGAGATGTTTTAGGTGAAAGGTTACACATGGTTGGATATAAAAGGTTCCATTCATAGCATTTTGAAGTTTTACTTTAAATAAATAGAAACAAGCTGCTGCCTGTCAATATCAATAATATCAGTTGGATATATCAATAGTCTTGAGTCACCATGGAAGGCTGCAAGGGGTGGGTAACTAACAAAAATGCCTTGTGATAATACAATACACACCCTGTGATTTATGTACTTGCACGCAATATTGGAATCAAATTATGAATAGTGAGAGGGTTGTGCCATGATGCATGTTTTATCAATTTGATATCATTGTGGTTTAAAGCAGATACTTGTGCTCAGTATAATATAAAGCAGGGGTGTGAAATTGCTGGCCTGCGGGCCGGATACGTCATGCCGAAACTGTGCCCACCCCATTGCCAGCAATGGAAAAAGTCGCGATATGTCACGACACGTCACGTGACATGGCAAGTTTGACACCCCTGATATAAAGACACCTTTTTCCATTCATGGATCTTCTTGGTTCACCACTTACTACAGTCAAGTTCAAATAACAGACCTGGCTTCAGATGTTTTTGATGAGGGGCAGGATAACTGAATACTCTCACTGACATATTAGGCACTGCCATTGTTGCAGATAAGTAATTTTTGGGGGAAATTAAATGAGGGTGGGTGGTCATTTTCCCCTCATACAAAGTTATTCCATATTGGCATTCTACCAGCTCAAGAATGCAGTAGCTCCTTCCTTCCAATGGATAAGCTACTGGGTAAATTAACTTGCAAGCAAGAAGGGAGACTGACAATCACAGGAATCTCGTAGTCACTAGTTCAACTGGTTAGGTGCTAAAAGGAAGAAGGAAAGATATTACCTTTGGTGACTACCAAGGTATGTGGGTGTAAGCTATGCTAAATTCACACTTATCTTCTGAAACTTACATTTCCAATGTGTTTCCAAGTTTATTAACCTCTAATTTATGCCCGACACAATCTCTCAACACTGTGAAAAATTCTTTCCAAAGTACTTTATGGATGGCTGTATCCAAAATATTATCTAATAGATTGGAAGCCAAGAACGTAGGATAATATAACTTCCTTATTTTGCTAACAGGCTAGCCTAAAAGAAAAAATGTATAAAAATGGCTAATTATTACTATAGGTGTATGTTATGCGAATATGGATGTAAGTAGGTCTGGAAGTCTCCTAACTACTTCAAATATGGGGGGAGGGCGACGATTCTTCAGACATTAATCTACAATTGTTAAGAGCCAATGATAAGGAATACAGGGACTTTCATTCAATGCAACATTAAAACAAAGAGAAATCACAATGCAGAGCATTTTTAAAAGTCATCAGGGTCATAGCTTCATATTTATGAGTCTTTGGGTTTGTTGAACCATAAATAAGTACAACATGTGTACAAAAAACAAGTTACGTAGCACTTCTGTCTTCTAGGCCACTTCAAGCTACAGTAAACTAAATCTTGTTTAGGAATAAACAATGTGACTCACAGTTTATAAAGACAAGATGAAGACCAATGGTTAGAGAAAACTTGCTATACACAATGATATTTCAGATTAGTAGCTTGTTTTTTCTGTTTTCATTATCACAGTATTCAGGAATATTATTTCTGCAACTATTCAGAGAATTTAAAGAATAGCAGAAGATATAGCTTATTAAAATGCACAGATTGTTGCAAAGGATTTAACACCATAAAACAAAAACGCACTTAGCCTTCATTCCTGTACAGAATTCTACTAAAATAGTTTAACTTAATAAAAATAATAAGTAGAAACAATACTAAAGTAGGAAATATTAAAAGATGAACAAGTTGCATAGATATATATTTCCCACCAATGTTATGCTGTCTTTTTATGACTAAAACACTGAATGACAAAAAATACATGTCTGAACACTTACAGATCAATCCTATATGTCAGTGATGGCGAACCTTTTAGAGACTGAGTGCCCAAACTGCAACCCAAAACCCACTTATCACCGGGTGCCAGGTGGGCATGGCCCACTGGGTGGGCGTGGCTGTGGTGGTCATGGCAGACTGGGTGGGTGTGGCCAAGGTGGGCGTGGTCACCTTGATGTTGCTCGTGGGGAGGGACGCCTGTGGGGGCCGGGCAGGAGATCCAGGGGGTCTCTGGCAGGTGGGAAAATGGGCAGGAGGCTCGTCCTGAAGGGTGAGGCAAGGCGAGGCAGGGCGAGGGTACCATTGTCAGAGGGCAAGGCGAGGCAGGGACGGGGCGGCTGCTGCCTGATACCATCGGCCCCGCACACAGAGGCCAGCGAGCGCATGGGAGCTGACAGTGTCCATCAGCAGCCACAGCCCGCCAGTCCCTCGACCGGCGCACTCTGGGGCTCCGCAGCCTGCCGCCAGCAGTTCAGAGAAGCTGCCTCTGAGCTGGACAGCTGAGGAGGCAATGCAGTGAGTTGTGCCCGGGAAAAGGAGAGCATGCGAGGCCAGGAGGGACAGGGGGGGAGAGAAACCAGCTGTGCTGGGATGCATCCGGCCACATGGGACTTCGGCGAGTTAGCAGGTGGCTGGTTGAAGAGGGATGGTTGCCATCTCTGGGGCATGGTGCGCGTGCCCACAGAGAGGGCTCTGAGTGCTGCCTCTGGCATGCGTGCCATAGGTTCGCCACCACTGCTATATGTCATGTACATATTTTCTTGCATTATCCACTATGATGCAAGTCTTCCCATTCCACAATCAAGACACTAAACTCAAAATATGTTGTAGTTACAGCATAGATTTTTACCACATATGGAATGAAACATTAGTACTTACAACAGGTAGCAGCACACAGCAGTTATCACCAGCATTGTATTAATAACACTGTGGAAAGAAGAAAGATGGCTAATAAACTGGAAGTTGTATTTACAAGCTGGCGTTAGAAAAAAAAGGGAAAAAGGTATTTTTCTACTCTTATTATACACAAGTTAGAGATACTGATATAATCATTACATAATAATTTTCCAAAGTGTTCCTAAATGTTAAAATATGTAGGGTACTGTAGATTAAATTAGGTTATTGTAGAGTAAGTCAGTACTATATTCGCAGTTCAGAGTAAACAAAAGCCATGTTTACGGTAAATTTACAATAAGAGTGAATCATTAGGATACAGCCAACTTGTATGAAATGTAAAATGAAAGTGTAAAGCTTTTCTTTCCAAACTCTCTAATCCACATCATTGGGATAGAATGGGAAATTTGTTCCACCAGTAGTTTCCATTCTGCTGCCAGGAACTTTTGGATCCACAACTCAATCTTTCAGCCGTGTTTTCAAAGAATGAAATGCCACCATTCCAAATTTGGGATTCATTCCTCTTCTGCCTCTACTCCTTATTCTAATTTTTTTTTAAAAAAGTACCTTTCATATACTGTATGCATAGTCACCATGAGAAGCTAAAGGCATCCATAGCCTATGGCTGATAAATTCTCAGGAACTATAGCAGGTAGATATATTTATCAGAGTTAGCTGCCTGACCTTCCCAACTAAAGTAAAATAAGTTACCCAAAATAATAAAATACTGCCCATTCATATAAGAATTTATATATACATTTTAAAAACATGCATTATTCAGACATTATCATATATAATCCCAGTGTCTAGAAATGTCTGGATAAGTCCTTGCAGTTTTACAATATTTCAGAAGTGCCTTCTCATTGCCTGTTTTCTGGGGCTGAGAGAGTGTGACTGGCCCAAGGCCACCCAGGCTTTGTGATTAAAATGGGACTAGAACTTATGGTTTCCCAGTTTCTAGCCTGATGTCTTATCCACTGCACCAAACTTGCTTTGGCTGTTGTTCCAGTAGTGTTAGTAAATCAGACAAAAAAAAATATCAAAGCTCCAATTACATAAAAAAGACTGCTTGTATAAGCCTAATGAATAAGACTTTGTTCAGAATAGAGGGCATCAAAATATGTCCTGAGAACCACCATTCATTTGGTCATTCTTTTCCCAGATTCATGAAGTTTATGCAAATATTATTCAACATCTGGCACTTGGACCTAAAAAATGTTTTTCTAAATAGAAGACAGTTGCAAAATCAGTATTTTCATTATAGGCCATAAATTATTTATGCAATTTTAAGGGGAAGCTATTCTTACCACAAAGATCGGAACCAAGCTCATTACTATTTGTGGGTTTTAACACAAGGAATTTAGTACTCTATATAAAGGCACCATGGCAATGGTAAGAACAATGTTTTCAGGGGGAAAAATTCTGTTTAAATTATACTCCCTATGAGGGAATGAAAATGAAATTTTGCAGATTTTCCATAAATAAAAGACCAGGGAACCACTAGTATGGCTAGTTATCCTTGCTTTCCTTTTTAAAAAAAATATATTTATCTTACTATTTCTGCCAAGCATGTATACAATCATTATCCTCACAATGAATTAGGTTACAGTTAGAACAGATGACAGTTGACTCAGCTAGAGAACTTAATTTCTATTCAAGACAAAAAGAAAACACTGTACACTGAACTAATTATTTTAATCTGTTAAGTATGATGACTGTTTTCAAGCGAATTTTATGAAGGTCAGGGCACTGATAGAGTTACAGAAATACAGCCATTTTGGAAGTTTATATATGTTCTGTACCAAAAAGAGAATAATATAAAGCAGAGTTCCCCAACGTTTCACAGAAATGGAATGTGCGTGTGCTGCTCATGCAAGTGAGGATGCACATGTGTGCACTTGCCGGCCGTTTCCACGGTCCAGTTGCAAACCCCTCATGGTCCAATAGTGGCCCGTGGCCCACAGGTTGGGGACCCCTGATATAAAGAACGGTTGTTGGAATTGGGTATATCTAGTTTAATGAAAAGAAGGACCAGGGGTGACATGATAGCAGTGTTCCAATATCTATGAGCAGCCACAAAGAAGAGGGAGTCAATCTATTCTCCAAAGTACCTGAAGGCAGGACAAGAAGCAATGGATGGAAACTAACCAAAGAGAGAAGCAACCTAGAACTAAGGAGAAACTTCCTGACAATTAATCAGTGGAACAACTTGCCTCCAGAAGTTTTTAAAAAGAAATTGGATAACCATTTATCTGAAATGGTGTATGATTTCCTGCCTGAGCAGGGGATTGGACTAGAAGATCTTCAAGGTCTCTTTCAACTCTGTTATTCTGTTATACTTTGGATCATTTTCTTAAATTCATTGTGTTATCTATTAATAAAATCTAGTCACACATAGAATTGATATGTTTATTAAAAGTGATCACAATATACCTATCTATGCTATGAAAGTCTGTTGTATGTGGCAATTTAGCATACAAAGACTCCTGTTCTACAAGTTCAAGGAAATAAAAAGCCACTTAAGAACAATGTAACTAAATCCAGTGCAACATATAAAGTGCAATTAAATAATCCCAAGACTTTCCTGTACCCCACAGACCAGCTCAGATATTCCTTGGAGAAGGCAAATCAGGACATTTACTCATCCCTTACTCAAACATCATTTTGAGAAGTACATCGGGTGTCCTTCAGAAACTGCAATTGGGTTAGAAGTATGCAACTCTATATTGTTTGATTTACACTACATTTCTGAACTGAAGTTATTGCAAAACACCCAAATAGTTTTGGGTCAGAATACTTCAGAACCTGTTTCTTTGAGAACTGACAAGGAGATCTTGCTCCAAATGCTATCTTCTTTTGAAATCCAACTGTAGAAATAGTAGAGTCTTCTTATCCAAAACAGCCTAATTTTGAAACTTCCTTTCTCAGAAGTCTGCCTTCTATTGGCAAAACTGCTTCCTAATTTGCACATCTATTTTGCTGTACTGCAAATGGGGCTCTTTTTCTGCTTAATTGTAGGGAGCAGCAATCTCTTACCTTCAAGATCCTTTGAACTACAACCTCTTCTGATACTACTACTAACAAAAACAACCATCAGAGTATTATGAGAATTAGAGTTCAAATCACCCTGGACACCGTTCAGTTTCCTTTTTTTTGTTCCATTCCTTCCATCCACCTCCACTTAGCAATTTAATAAAAAAAAAAAAAGCACTTTATAGATTTAAAATAGAATAAGCAAAAACGTAAAGCAATAACCACATTTTGATTTCATATCAGTGCTGTAAAAGTAATGAAATAATAATAATAATAATAATAATAATAATAATAATAATAATATAAAGGGAAGTTAGCTAAAATGCCATTAATATTCAATTATTGGTGTTTACAGAAGTGGGCTATAATGACAGAACTGGAACATCTGTCTCATGCCCCTTTGAGTAGGAACAGGAACTTAAATAAAAAGCTGTCTGAAAAAATAAACCGTCACAAGGCGCTGACAGGGCTGCCCCCCCCCTTTCCGGCCTGCCTCCCTCCCTGGAAGTTGATGTTCCAAGGAATGGTCTCGCGACACACAGGACACCCCCCCCCCAAGCCCAAGTAGTTTCGCCCGGAGGGTGGGGTGCCCTCCGGGAGGGGGGGGGTGTATCACGATGAAGAGGCAACCCTCAAACGCCAACCCGGGAAGGAGCAGGCGACCTGCCGGCAACATTGGGGGGGGGGAAGCGGGAAAAAAAGAGAAGGGAGCTGCGTTGCGGGGGTTCTCCGAGCAAGAGGCGCACCCGTCGTTTCTTGCACCGCAGCCCGTGGCAAGCGTTCTCGGGTAGGCAACCAGGCCAAAGCGGGGGAGGGGGAGGGCAGGGTCTTCGCCTCGCCTTCCTTCTCCACGGCGCGCCCCCCAGGTCTCCTTTTCCGGTCACTTACCCTCGGTTAGGGCCCTTGGGAACCAAAAACGGCAAAACTCCCCCGATCACCCCCCAGAAAACGCTCATGACGATGATGGGCACTAGTAGGCCGCCGTACGCCATAGCTGCCTCCTTCCACCGACTCCGGCTCTAACCAACGCGACGGCCGATTGACACCCCGTTTTTTGTAGCCGCGCCTGCCTCGGCCTCCTGGCCAATCAGAGCAGCCGTAGGGCGGGTCTGCGGAAGGCGTCCTTGGACGGGGTTCCCGTGCAAGGAGGGCCGGGTCTTTTCTCGTTGCTCTCGTGAAGAGCGCGGCTTTCTGGTCAGTAGCCTCAACCTGTTGCACAGCGAGGTCAGTAGGCCGAACGCCGAAGGTCGTTCTTTCCTCGAACGGCCCCGGTGGCCTGCAACTCGCCACCTAGCTTTGTGGCTCGCCTTACTCTCACGTGATCACGGCTGTATTATTTGTAGCTCTAGCTCAGTGTTTCTCAACCTTGACAATTTTAAGGCATGTGGACTTCAACTCCCAGAATTCCACAGCCAGCAATGCTGGCTGTGGAATTCTGGGAGTTGAAGTCCACATGCCTTAAAATTGTCAAGGTTGAGAAACACTGCCTATGCTATCTTAAGGTTTAACGCATTTCGCAGCGAAATACTTACTTTTGAAAATTAAGATTTATTTCTCCCCTTCATGTAAGAGTTGAAAAGAAAGCTACTCTTGTTTAAAGACTACTTCCCATTTCCCTTTCCATCTTACAACACGAACTGCAGCAAAATGAGCAGAAAAGGAAACTGGGAAGTGAGGTACTTAATCTGACCATGAAAAGTGGCAGAGATTTGATAGTGCATTTCACAGTAGTATCTACTACTCTAAGGCAATAGGCACAGATGAGCAGTGGGCAATGTTAAACAGAGGGGAGCTGGTTTGAAATTCAACTTTTAAAGCAGATCATCTGAATACAAGAGAGTTTGTACCTTAACCAATAAAGAACACAGGTCTGGGCAGCAATCTGTATTAATCTTCCATTCCCAGACCAGTTTGTAATTAGGATTTTAACAATAAAAATAACCCTGGAGTATCTCAGTATTTTCTCTGCTCACAAAACATTATAAAGGATGCTGTAGTTCAGGGGTGTCAAGCTGCCGACCTGCAGCCGGATACATCATAGCAAAAGCACGCCCACCCCATTGCCGGCAATGGAAAAAAAGTCACAATATGTCATGACCCTGCTGTAGTTAGATTTCTCCTTGTAGAAAAACTGTATCCCTACTAGCGAATTACTCTATCTTATTCATTTATGAACTAAGGACCTCAGGATGGTAACTCTCTAATTTCTTTGTTTAATTTAAATGATTTGAAAAATAGCCTTGGAAGTTAGTCTAATAACATAGTTTTCACTTTCAATCATGAATTCCCCGCTACAAATTTTCTGCAATAAACATACTACCAGCATCACAGGAAACGCTAGTATGGCCAAGCATTTCTCTATATCCATGTATTATCTATAATCTACATCTTTTTCTAGTTTGCAATATATTGCTTTTTTGTTACTATGTTCAAGTTATAAAAGTTGTAAAAACAAGAATACTGATACAATACAATTTACTGAAATTTTAATGGATCTGACAAAAAAGTCCATTTTATTCTTGCATCTTCTCAATTGTTTCTTCCTTGTATTTTCCTTTCTCTTTTCCAACTTGGCGAGACTTCGCTTTGCGTTCCAAAATCTTTTTGCGATCCTTGTCCAGCTTTAATCTTGTGATCACCACCTATGGAGTCAAAGCAAATATTTATATTTTTTTTCCTTAAATTTTTCAAGGCACCTCAGTATGAATAATTCACTACATTAAGTTATTTTAGCACAGAATAGATTTGTTGCCCATTTTTTAAAATGTTGCAGTTATGCCCTGCATTATAGCTTGTCTCAGAGGTTGTTCCTTGCTTTCTTTTCAGCTTAATTATCCTAATCGGGACCAAAATTTCCATTGCTGTGCAAAGCAATTGTTAGGTAAAACACCACTGCACCTCTTAGCAACAGCAGTTTTGGTTACCCTACTTATCATCCCATTAGGCAAAGACTTCTCTTCTGCCCTGCTGCCCCTTCAACTTCCCCACCTGTCCTTTTGGCCACCCTGCATTCTACTGTCTCCGCTGTCTTTCACTGTCTTCTTTCCCCTACTGAGGTGGCATGGCAGATAGTAGGATGCTTGCCTTTCTGCCCTTTTGATTGCCCTGCACTTCACTGCCACCACTTACCATGCCACTCATACCAATCTATGCCATCTTTTCCCACTGCTGAGAAGGCACACCTGGCCAGGTTTCTAAGAACTGAAAATAATGCACTTGATGGAAAGCTAAATTAAGTGAAATGCAGAAGTGGATCAATATTTAGTCGAGGAACAAAACATGGAAATAATGAATCCAAACAAAGTCACATAAAAGACAAGAATACATTATTTCTTTTGAAGAATTTGAGCATGTTAATGGTCTGGAACTAACAAATTTCTCAATTATGAATTTCTTAGGGAATGTAGGGAATGATTATTTTCAACATCTGATGACCATATAAGAGATTTATTCCAAATTTTTATTATAAAGTACGATTCCAAGAAGTAAAAAAAAAAGAATGACACAAACCATATAAACTGACAGTTCATTTAATAAACAAGTCATAACTATTTTAAACAATGCTAACATTTTTAGAATATAGCAGTTCTTAAAATGTTAGGCTTGCGCAGTTCCTGGAATACTGCAGTAATAAATTTACTGTTTCTACTCTTCCTATTTTATCACAAAAGACCAAAAATAGTGACATTTTTTGTAAGCTTATTGTTACTCTCCTGCTGTTATTTGAATCATGTATTCAGTTTCTTATAATGGGATTTGAATCAGATGACATTAGTTTACAGATTCAGAAAAATTAGCAATACAAGGATTTGGTTAAAAATATGTCGGTGCAATGAGGGCACTATAATTTCTATAAACAGAAATAAATTAACAAAAAATATATTCTTGCTGCCCTTTCTCACCCACACAAGCATCAAGAGGCAGAACATATTAGTCAGTTTGTTCCTTTGGTAGAAATTCTGCCTGCTGCCTTTTGGATACAGTCTCATCTTATCTGATTCTTACTAACTACATTTTCTAGGAATAATATACTGCTAATAAATTAAGTCAAGAAAACACAGCAGCACGTTCTTCAAAACAAATTCAACATAAAAAAGAGAAAGCCTAAGACATAAAATGTTACCACCAGCCCCTTTGGGGGAAATCTGTTTCTGGTGACTTTAGACATGTATTTGCAACAGTATGGAACTGGTTTGTCACTGCCTTCTTTGGGAATGTTTTTTCAACTTATAGGTCTAATTAACACCCCTGGGCTTTCTTGATGGTGGTACCATCCAAATACTACCCAAGACTTGCTTAACAGAGAACTTTAATTTCAGAACTTAGTACAGCGGCTCCCAACCTTTTCTATACCCCGCACCCCTAGAACGCGCTTCTGATATATTCTCGCACCCCTTAAAAAAGTTCGAAATAACGGCAACGAATTATGCATATACACTATAATTTTGAAAAACCAAGTTTTTGCACCCTCTGGAATATCATCTCGCACCCTCGGTTGGGAACCCGACTTAGTATGTACAATCATAAATCCCAAGTAGACTAACTGTCTGACTAATACTAAGAAAATTGCTTTAGAGAAATTAACAGTTGTTCTACACCAGCTTTGTGAAAGATAGATGCCATAATTACAAGTGATCTTGCACATATGAACTTCAGAATTCCTAGCCAGCAAACCCTTGTTGAAAATATAGGGGAAGGTTAATTTATCCTACTTCTATTAAGAAATGGCCCAGGAAATAAGGTTTAGTTAATGGTAGTAGTAGTTCTCATCACAAAAAGGGCCTTTGTCTGAAACACACTTTTTAAATAAAGAAATTATAAATGTAAAAAGTTACATTTTACAAGCCATTTCTGAGAGGGATGATAACCAAAATAATCTCTAGAAATTAAATAATGGTCTAAACCAACTTTATTATCTTTCTTCCATCTGCTCTTTGCCTTACACAATCAATGTTTATGCAAAATCAAGGATTGCTGGCAAAATATGTAAATGTTGGAAACAATTTCAATTTTGGCATTTTCTTTCTTTGTTTAGCAAAGGGAGAGCAAATGAACACGTCCATCTTCAGTGATCTAATTTTTGTCCCAAATTTTATTTGATTAAAAACATTAAACAAGCCCGTATTATAGTTTATTATGCCTTTGTAAACTTTCTATTTCAATGCATTCGTTTTTGAAATTAGTAATTAACATTATATAAGTATAAAATGTGTGTAAATAATCATCTGATTAAAACTCACCTTACTAGGGTGAATGCCCACATGTACAGTTGTGCCATTAGCTTTCTCACGCTGTACACGCTCAATGTAGATAACATACTTCTTTCTATATACCTGGACTACTTTGCCAATCTGCTGTCCTTTATAATGGCCCCGAACAACCTAGAAATAAAGGTATCTCTGTTATTCTTTAAATTATTACATTTTAATAGCATGAAGTGCAAGAATAATTTATGAATGATCCTAGCATCTTAACATGATTTCATACACTCTTAATATAGTAACCACACTAGTTGTAGTTGTGAAGCAATGAAGACTTGAACACAAGAATACTGTATGCTTTAGATGGAGCAAATGTGTCACCCCGTTTACTGTTCCTTAAAGCAGTTATGACTGTGAGAGATAGTGGAAGCTAGGAATGGAATGGAAGAGACCACAGGTATAACCAATAAAGATACAAGGGCTGAGTCCACTAGCAGTCTTAACATAGCAAATTAAACCAAGCTAACAAAAAACCTGGGAAGAAAGGTTTTAACTCAAGAGACTCCGCTGTAATGAGTTCACTATAAATGAATTTAAGCTTTCTCTGCTGAAGTTCCTGTCCTATGTAACATCCAGATAGCCCCAACCACCTTAGCCTCCCAGAAGGCTGTCAAAATTTAGGTCTTCCCCAAGTAGTAGAGAAGCTGAATTTATGTGATTTATGGACTCATTATGTACCGCTTTTGGTTATTTTTTCCCCTTGTATTGTATTAGTTTAATTGCTTATGGATTTCATTATTATTCATAGAAGAAACACAGAGCTTCACATACTTGAACTTCATCG